TTTTTTTTTTTTTTTAAGCTTACAGTACCATTTCAAACTGACAACTTTAGAAATATCAGGATTTTTCACTGCAAAATCGAACGTGTCCAGCCCCACCCTCGGGAGATGTGAAGTAGGGGTTGTTGAGCTTTTCTGTTGCATCCTGCCTGAAATGGGGAGCTCTCACACAGCTGATGCCAAGGCTGCAGAGGAGGGCACTGACCCCCTGCTTCTCACAGAACTGCTGCTTTACTCCTCGTCCATCTCCTGCCAACTCACAGCTGCCAACAGAGACGTGAGTCTGACCACAGAAAATGCCAAAACATGAGAAAAATGCCCCACTCCCAATTAAGAGCGATGACTATGTGTGGAAGGCAGGCTAAGCTGAGAAGGGTCACACAGACATTTTACAGCTTGGTGAGATGAAGGAATGCAGGTGTCACACTCAGATAGAATAATTGCTGAAATTGTGTGAACCATCCTCCTGAGGCGATGGGAAGGCAATGCAAGGACATCCTGTTTTTAACCTGCTGGAAACTYCCTACGAGGTATTTGTGCTAGTTAGCCCTGGGAAAAAGTAGAAGTAGTTAAGGGAAATTTGGCAAATGAATCATTARAGGTGGAGTTGACGTGTAAGACGTGGACCTATGAAATAYATGTATTACAGAATATRTATGAGCTAATTATGTATGTTATAAAACTTAGACATTGTTTACAATAAATCGAAGTTYRCTTATAACTCATATTGAATGGTCCSAGTCTTCCCTTCGCCGACAACGATGAGCTGTGTGGACAAACCAAGGAGTCAGAATAGGAAATACTCTGCCTGCTTGGGGCTGGGAGAGCCTCTGAGYGCTTTAAAGATATCACCTTTATCTCTAACCCCTTCCAGCCCCTGAGTGCTTTAGAGATACCCCTTCCCCCTTCTCCCAGGACATAAAAACGAACCATCCTTGGCGATGAGAGCGCTCTCCTTGGTCATGGTGGCGTCCTCGCTSAGGCCGCACATGTTCTCAGCAAACACCCTGAAGTAATACTCGTTGCCAATGACCAACTCGTTGATGGTGGCACTGGTGCGGTGGTAGTGCTCGATCACGGTGAACCATTCCTGCAAGCACACACAATTTGGGCTCAGCTTCCTTCTCCCTGAGGTGTTCCCTGGGTCTCCTTTGGAGAGAGTACAGCCAGCAGTGATCAGTGAAATGAGGGATGATGGCAGTGAAGGTGAGCCTTAGGGAATTGCTGAGGGGAGAGGAGGACAAAGAGCTGTGAAGGGCAGAGCAGAGGAGCTGCAGAGGGGTGTCCTGGAACAGAGGAGCTGCAGAGGGGTGTCCTGGAACAAACAGTGTTCTCTGGCACGGAGGGAGAAGCCACACTCGCCTCCTTCCTCCAGCTGGAGCAGGCAGGAAAATGTGTCATAATTAAAGGTTTGAGTTTCTGGTCTGTATTCCTCAGCMTTGCCAGTGGCAGATGGGTTAAAACTCCTGACCAGGGTGATTTCCAGCCACCCTTGCCCGGTTAGAACCATGTCAGGAGAAGAAGCTCCCTCATCTCATCYCACATCAGCTCACAGATGTGAGATAAACTCCTCCTGCTGAGGGGAGAGGAGGACAAAGAGCTGTGGAGGCAGAGAGAGGAGCTGCAGTGGGGTGTCCCAGCACAGACGGTGTTCTCTGGCAGGGATGGAGCAGCCACAGCCGCCTCCTTCCTCCTCCTCTGCGTTCTGGGGGTGCTGCTGGGCAAGGGGGGAACCTCTGCTGAGCCACAGAACGAGAATCCTTTCTGTTACAGGGCCCTGTGCCTGTCACAATGGTTTGAAAATCAATTTCTCTACAGGAAAAGGCCACKGAATTATCCTGTCACRAGGTGGAACGACAAAGCCTTTTRGCTGTCACATTAATATAAAAATTACATAATTAGATGACTGCAATACTGAATAAATGACTCTTTGCTAAAAGCATCCCTTTCTCTGGCTTACCTAGAGGAACAAAGGACTTGGAAGGCATGCTTGGCTTGGACATGCCGATGGCATTGACAGCRAACACTCGGACCTCATAAGCAACACCTTCAATCATTTTTTGTGGCTCAAAAGTCGTTTCCTTACACAGTTCAAAATTCAGCCTCATCATCCTGGACCTTACTGAGTTGCTACACTGGCAGCTGGAAGGGCTGATTTTAGGAAATCCAAAGGTTATGTTGTGTGAGTGAGGTGGGCTCCTCGTTCCTCATCCACGCTGCTGACGGAGGCAGMGCAGTCACAGATGAGAAATGTACAACAGACTGAGTTATTCTGATTTCTCAAGAGGCCACTGCACTCATCTGCCCTCTCTGTATCACAGAGGGACATGAGAAATGTATTTTTATGATCCTCTGATATCTAAAGGCTGAGATGGAGGGGTGGGTTCTGTGCTTTAGCCTTGCAGCAGTGATGGGACTTGTGAATTCTACCCCATTACACAAAACCTGAGTGACAATCTGAGACAAAAAGTTAATGCTGAAAATGCAATTAATACAAAGTGCAGCATGACCACAGCAACGGTTTTGCTTTTCTTTACTCTGCCCTACATATTTTCTTGCTTTTCCAAACTGAACTTGTGCTGAGTTCCCTGTACCACAGTTTGCAGTAATATTTGATCAACTCTAAGAGCCAGAGTTCCCTTGGGAAAACAGCTTTTATGGAAGACCAGCTGTGCCAGRATTGCAAAATGCACCACCCCAGATACTGTGGGGACAGTGTCCTGAAAGATCCATGTCACACTGGACCCTGGCTGCTGCTGCTGCTGTTACTTTCTCCTCATCACAGTAATTTAGAGGGGCCGTTGTTTTGGTCACTGTAGCAGAGACCATATTTTTTCAGTCTCAAGAGAGGGATAAAAGTAAACTAAAATAAAAAAAAAATAATTAAAAAAAAAAGATGGGAAGGAAAATAATGGTACAGGAAGAATGAATTGATCAGACTGTGAAGGAGATCAACATATTAATGTGTGGGGRTAAGGAAGGGACAGCAGAAGTTTCTCTTCCATAAGAAAAATTCCAAAATATAGTCCTTGATTTTCAGTGTTTAAATTTGCAGTAAATGTTAAATCTGAGAATCTGACTAATGTCTTTTAGAAATGCGAAAAATTTGTGTTACTTTAATGAAAATAATAATTATTTCTGATTTGGACTTACCCCCTACAAGTCTCAGAGCAGTTTATGAATGACCTATGTACTGTTTTGCCATGGGTAGTAAGAAGTGGCAATGACTTACATAATATAACATTGCAGGCTTGAAAACAGCAGCAAGAGTACAATTTTGTTCTAGTAGCAGCCTACTCAATTCAAAATTAATATTTTGTGGGTRTATTTCCTCTACTGAGGCAAAGGAAAAATGCAGAATTACTTCTCTCAAATCCACCCATCCTTTGCTTTTTAGTCCTCCTCTTCAGCATAATTTGAAAATGTTTCCACTTCTAGGCTTTAGTTACAGTGAACAAGTGATTTTTAGAGCTTTTAGAGATGCCTGTAGAGATTTTGTATCTTATTATCAGTAATTATCAGTAGCATTATCAGTAATGCTTTCTGATTTTTGAAAGGGAGAGTTCATGAGCACATCCACCTTTCAAACATCTCCTTATTACTTACCATACTCTTTTTGTCTGCTTTCTGAATAGTGTACCCAGTAATGGCAGCATTCCCATCATCTTTTGGTGGCTTCCACGATAAATTTACGTTCTCTCCCCAGACATCCTCAATAGTTACAACCTCAGGTGGGCCTGGGCGATCTGTAATGAAAATTTGACAGCTGACACTTTTTGCTGTTTCCGTTCTCTGTCTCTTTCCCACAAATATCTTCCAATTAGTTTGATTTCTCTCTCTTTCTTACCAAAAAAACAATGCCAAAAGAAAGAGGTGGTTGCAAAATAAGACCTTCCAAAGTTAAGGCATGTCAGAATTATAATAAGGCATCAGAATTATAATAAATGTAATGACTAAAGTTCTGCTACCAGTTTTGCCCATTATGTAAAGAAATAGATTGTAAAAATGACAAGGAAATGCATTTTGTTGTCTGTCTTTGCTACCTTCAAATGTACTTTCAGCATTTAGGATTTCTTCCACATACATTTGTGACAAACTTACTGTGAATTTGCTGCCATTTCTCTCTATGGGTGCTACTCAAGAGGAAATATCTTGGATAAAAGATAGACATGAGGGGCACAGCAGTGAAAAAAAAAAAAAGTCTGGCACATTTCAACAATGTCATTGTGTGTGGAGGTTTCCTCAGAGACCACAAATCCACAGCCAATGGAACGTGGAGAGGTAACACCACCAAAGGAAGCCGCTCTTTGGGGTTCCCATTTTCCTGAACCCTTGGAACAGCGGGATTTATTCCCCCAAACATACCCACAATCTGAATATCTATCGTGGCTTTGTCCACCAGGTTCTCCACCTCCACCTTCATGTCGTACTCCCCGGAGTGGCCCCGCTCTGCCTTTCTGATGAAGATGATGGTGTCGTTCTCCGTGTTGCGGATGTTGATCTCGTTCTTGTCGATGGGGGAACCGTTCTTCTGCCACGACACTTTTGCTCTTGGTTTTCCCTGTAAGGAGCCAGGGAATGATTTTTATATGATTATTTTTTTTTTTCTTTTTGGGAAAAGAAGAAAACAGGTTTATTTCCCGTTTTTCCCCAACAGGAAATAAAAGCTGTCCTTTTTAAGGGGTTTATATACCATTTAGAGGTGCAATCATACCAATTCACCCAAAATATAGCTTTCTTTACTTTTTTTTTTTTTTTTTTTTTTAACCAGGAGACTGAAAATATTTGCAAATTCTGGCTATATTGGACAATTATCTTTCTGGCTAAACTGGACAAATAATTTCCAGTTTTCTGAAAGAAAAGGGAGAAAGAAACAACCCACAGAAAATACAGAACAAAGTATTTGACCCTGTGGAAATGCTTAAATTCTCTACACTGCCAGTGAAAAGGGAAAGAAATGGACTAAACCTCCAGGGATCCTCTCTTCTTTCATTGCAAGGGAAGTTGTTRCAGCTGCTGGGAAGGCTGGATTGACACCTTTCGTGTGCCTTTTTGTGTGTTTAAGTACCCAATATAGGTATTTAGAGTGATGAAGTTCACGTAATGCTATGGGAAAACAYACTGAGTATTTATGCATTTAGAAATAGTTTTATCACAGCTGTGATCTCAAGGGTTTGACAGCTGCAGTCTGCCCACTTTCCCCTGGCTTTTCCTCTCTCATGGCAAGGAAATTATTCAATGCTGCTGTCCCACTCTTGATAATTTTATCTGCTTCCAGTGCAGCCCCTTTGCATTGTGCTGGCAATTATCTCAAGTGGAATTTCTGCTGTGGGGATTTCGAAATGTCCTTTGGATGACAGGTAACCAATCTGTCTGAATTAYCCAATTCATTATTTGGCTGAACATAATTTGTTTGAGACGTTGAACGAAAAGCCTTTGAGCACCTCTGTACTTCACTGTGCTTAATTTGGCTCGCTGGCCAAAGTTACGGAGAAATGAGTTAAAAAGCAGCAACATTTAAAAAAAATTAAAATAAAAAAAAAGTAGGAAAGGGGCAAAAAAAGCAATGAGAACTTTTCTGTGAGTGCTTTTAGTTCTTACCTGGAAAGGAATAACAAGGTTCACAGTTTCTCCAACTCTTCGAGTGTAGGTTTGCTTTAAGTGTCTTGGTAGACGGATCTTTGGAGGTTCTGGACACAACAAAAAACTTGTGTTAGGCACTTTTCTCCTTTTCTAACTGAGCCTGCACTAGTGTGCATCAGCAAAAAAAGGAGATAAAAATGTGGTCTAAAATCCCCAGAGGTGACTAATGAATGCGGTGTCTTAAATGTCTTGGTCCCGCAGTGTTACATTTGGGACACCATCAGCTTTTGTGACAGCAAACATTAATTATGGTGGTAGGAATTGGTGGGAAGCTCAGTGCAACTTTAAAAAAAGACACCATCAAGTTCTGCAGGGGAAACAAAAGGCCCWGAAAAACTGAGAGAGAAAGGTTCAGAAATGAAACAAACAGAAAGGATTATGATATTTTGGAATGATAGTGTCACGATTTCAAGCCACCACACAATGGTTTTGTAAGACCATGCCATTTTGTAAGACCAGTTGCCGATAACAAATTGCAATATTAATTAACCATTAAAAATAAGTTTTTAATTGCAATTACAACAGTTTTTAATTGCRTTTTTTTAATTTAGCCATAAAAAATTAGGTATTGGTATGAAAAGAGAGCGTTTTTCTGGGTAAGTGTGGGCAGCAGGATCTCACCTATCACTTCCTTGACTAAAATAGGCTGTGGGTGGTATTTGGGCTCGCTTTCCCCGGCAGCATTCACGGCTTTGACTCTCACGAGGATTTTGGARCCCGTTGGGAGCCCGTTGATGGTGAACTTGGTTTTGTCTGTCAGCTCCGGGTTGGCCACGATCCATTCATCAGCTGGTTCAGGGAAACGAGGGGAGGAGGGCAAATCCAAACAACAGGCAATTATAAATACATCCACTGCATGGATGAGGAAAATTACACAGCAGCAATTGATTCATTCAATTCTAATGAATAATTCTCTTTTTCTAATTATGCTGTTACACAATGCAGATTCACTTTCACACACAGGAATGGCTGTTTCAAACCCTGAAGGGTTTCTTCTAATTGCAAGTTACATATTCATCTATTTATATACCTTACTATAATCACACAAAGGTTATTAGAATATTTCTATAATTTAACTGTACCAGAGAGAAAATGAGTTAGATTTTTAAATTCAGCTAAACTAAAAACAAGGGGGACAAGGAATATATTTCCAAAAGCGCTCATCATTGCTTTAACAGCTTCCTTGGAGAGAAATGGGTTTTGCAATTTATTTCGACCAGTGCTGAGTACCCTTGAAAGTGTAACTGAAAAATAAGAGAATATTTACACATTGCAATGAAATGCCATCTCTCCTCATGCCTTTAAAAGAGGAAGGCTGTGTCAGAATTACTCACATAATTACAGCATTCTCAGATTATTTAATCCTACCCCCAGGCAGCCACATGAAATCCATAGGGTGATCATAACAGAATCTTTCAGAATGGTTTCAGTTAAAAACCACATTTTCTCATGTACCCTGTCCGCCCATCCCAGATTGCTCCAACTCTGCTGGCACCTGGGCACTGGGGCCAGATTTACGAGCTGGATCCACACTCTCCACATCATGTTAAGAAAGCACCATGAAGTGGGAAGAGAAGATGAGAGCTGTTGTACCTTGGAGAGCGCCACAGACCCAGAGCTGTGGTACATTCTCATAACTGAGTGCCTTGCTTTTAGCAGTTAAGTTTTCCTCCAAGCTGCTTCTTTCAGCAGAAAAGGATTTCAATCAATGCCAAGAGCCTCCCCCTCCCCTTACACCTGTACTACAGAAAATTCTGGACACTGCTGCCCCTAGAATTCACAGTCAGGGTTTTATCTTTACTTTTACGAAGAAAGTTTTCCTTTCATTAAAGAAGACTTTTATCCTTTGTGGAGTACTGTACCTTCCAGGTTAAAAGGTGGCTCCCCCAACTCCTCAGACAGATCTGTCGATATACCTTGAGAGAATCCATCTTTAAAATTAATCAGAGACACCCACTTTCACACAGGTGGAGCATTTTGTCAGTGGTTAGCAATTCCTGTTAGTAAGTATGCAAAGAGAGATGCTGGGCTTTACAGATTTAGARAACCCGCATTTAGGGAGGCTGCAGGGAGAGAAGAGATGGAGAGAGGGCATCTGGATCACAGAGCAGTTATGTGTGATGCCCAAAGGAGAGCTAAAGGATGAAAGAAGAGGAGCATATAAAGTTTTGTGGGTTTTTTGGGCCTGAGAGTAGGCCTAGAAATAGGAAAGGGAAGAGACAAAAGGAGCACTTGGAAGAGAGAAATGAAACAGAATGATGATGAGAGAAAATGTAGAAGGAGAAGAAAACACATCATAGAAGAGATGAGAAATTCAGAGATACATTCTGAGTAAGAGACAGAAAAAGAAGAGGTCTTGGAAAAAAACTTGAGGAAACAGAGGAAGAGAACACATTTAGCTGAAGGTAACATAGATAGAAGATTAAAGAAGACCAAACCCATGGATGATGACAGATATGATGCAAACCCTACAGATTTATTTCCTGGAAAAAGCTATCACTGCCCTGGACTTCCTGTAATCGTGGAGCTGGGTATTTTCAGGATAATAAAAATACTTTTCTGATATCTTTGCACAGTCCTGGATGAGTACACTGCCAAGATCTCAGCCTGGAGAAACTCTGCAAAGTGATTGCTGACTGGCTACAAAAACAGATCAGCYGCAGCTAACACGGCCTGTTAGAGGCAGAAAAATGTTTTATCAAGGGGGGCACTCAGTCCACACCCCCCGGGCTGCCCCAAAACCCCAAAAAAGAGCAGTCAGCAGCACTTTAATAGCGACTGACTCCTCCAGGGTCAGCAGGATTTGCTCTGCTCCACATCCCCACAGCAAGAGGGGCAAAGCTGCATGACGTAAACAGGGCCTGGGGACTTCTCTGTCTAAATATTCTATATTCTATATTCACATTATTCACACCTATGCAATGCTGATCAGGAAACTCAAGATGAGACTCCAGTTCAGTMAAATGCACAGAGAGCTGTCAAAAGGGGTACACAGTTAAGGAAGTCAGAGAGTCCACCACTTTGATCAAGTTATAGGGTTCAGACTCGAGGGAAATACCAATTTTGCAAAGCTAAACAAATGCTTATGATACATTATTCCTCTAAATTATCTTTATATTTTRCCTTCCTATTTTCAGCTTGTGATTTCTCCTAACGATTGCTATGTTAAAGAAGACTCTAAAAAAGCCCTCTTTAAAACTACTTTGGTGACAATGGAAGAATGGAGAATACAAAGACAGATGAGTTTACCAACAGATAACTAAGAGAAAAAAAGCAGCAGAATGAAAATAGACAGTCATGAAAAGTATCTTGAAATTAAAAAGAGTTATTAAACGTTATGGAAAAAAATTAGTTTGAGGGCAGAACAGGCACTGAAAGGGCTGAGAAAAAGGGGCACTAAGATATTGCAAGAAAGGAAAAAAAAACAACCGAACAGAGAGAAAAAGATGAATAATTCAATAATATGACTTTTAAAATTGGCGTTTTAAAATTGGCATTTTAAAATTGGCATTTTCTACTTCTCTTGCTTCTCCTAAGCATTTTCATGACATATATACATCATGTCAATTGTGTATATATAGCTGTATATGCATATATAGGAGGCTTATATAGATATACATGAACACTCCAACGGTGTAAAATACATTGTACCCATTGTATTTTATCTGAGGTGGGTAACAGTAAAATGACAGACCCAGCTGCCATTTTTGTTGTGTCTTCATGTGTTTAAAACCTATCTGGAAAAAAAAAAGTAAAGAATTTGTTCCATTCATCAGGTATGCAATGTCCTTCTGTCCAGCAGTCCTTTAAAGACAGAATTGGGAGATTCCTCTGAAAGCCACAGTTTGAATAAATGGATCTCTGTTTCTCTCTTATCACCTAATTTGGATATCACATATGATAATGTCAAGCACTTTTAAWTTTTTTTCCCTGCCATTCTACCAATAAAGCATAAAATACAGAATGCTCTGAAGTCCTGACATTRGCAGTCCCCTTTACATTCCCCTACATCTGGGCTGTGCAGTGGAAATATTAGAATGTATTCTTGATGGAAGACTTCATGCTTTCTGGTTCTGGGCTGTTCCCTCAGCTCCCTCGCAACACACAAGGAAAACCCTTCCTACCATTCCAGCTGTGTCTGCCTTCAGGTTCTCTTCTCCAGGTCTCTGAGCTTCTTGCAGTCCTGTTCCTGCTTCCTTAAAGACATTTCTTTCAGCACTACAAGATGCTGAGTGTTCCTGAGAAAAGCCAGAGGTTCTTCTCCACTCCACTCCCTCTCCCTCTCCCGAGATCTCGCCACGTTTGTGCCCTACTGTTTTCATGGATTGTCTGAATCTGAAATGTGTGACAGCATGAATGGCAAGTTCTGTCCTCTACCCTTTTGTCTCCAGGCTATGGATTGTGTTCATGAAGAATAARTGCCTTCATGGAACAAAAAAAMAAGGTGTTCAACCCTTCACTTGATTTACAGCACAGTTAAGAGCAACAGCAGTGGAGCTGAAGATAACTGTGTCCCCTTCCTCCACATCCAGAACAGTTGGTGCTGCTGGTCCACAGAGCCTGGGTATTGCACAACCACTCCAGGCCATTTGATACTTACCCCGGTGCTAGTGGATTTTACTTTTTGAAAATAGGCTTCAATGGATGCCAGCTCAGAAGAAAATCTGCTGGAAAACACTAARTTTCTGCTGCTTGATCGCCAAAGACTCCTAGTTGTAAAACATAAATTGTATTTCCCTGTTTCTTCTTATTTTACTCTCAAAAGTTTCTTCAGTCCCTTATCTTCGTCCTTCAGTTGTTTTATCTTTTTGTCTTAGATGGACACAGTTAAAGATCCCAATAACTACACKGAAATGTGGGGAAGTTGTTCTCAGTGTTGGCAGCTGGCACCTGAAGCAGCCAGTGAGGAACATGTGAACATCGGGGTTACCACACTGAGGACCTCCTGACCCTAAAACCCAGAACATATTTTGGACCCCAACTGTAGCTGTTCATTGTTTCCTACACCTTCATCCACCAATGAACTCCTCACTGCCCTGACTCCCATTCAGCACCTAAAAGAGGATGGTTATTATCACGGCACTCGGTGCACTGCACCGGAATTTATGGCTTTTGATTTGGATTTCAAATCAGATGCAAGATAACATCGAGCTACGATCAGCGGGTGGGATCTGGAATACAAACCAGAGGAAGCCTGAACAAAACCCTGCTGCTTGAGGTTTTCTGCCTCATTAGTCTCTGCCTGACAGCCAGAACACCTGATACCTGCAGAGARAAAACGGAGAAAGTCTCACCCACTTTCCCAGCGAGGGAGGAGCTGTGGGTGTTGTCACTTACTTCCTTCGAAGCAATATTCCACCACGTAACCGTCCAGCCCGGCCGCCCCGATCTGGTCTGGTGGCCTCCACTTCATTGTCACCGAGGTGTCGGTCACACTGTCCACTGCCAGCAGCGTTGGGGGGCTGGTGACAGCTGGAGCAGGCAGGAAAATGTGTTATAATTAAAGGTTTGGGTTCTGTATTCCTCGGCATTGCGGGTGACAGATGGGTTAAATCCTGGTGACCAGGGGSATTTCCAGCACAGTTAGAACCACGCCAGGAGAAGCAGCTCCCTCATCTCATCCCATATCTGTGGAAGGCAGGCTAAGCTGAGAAGGGTCACACAGACATTTTACAGCTTGGTGAGATGAAGGAATGCAGGTGTCACACTCAGATAGAATAATTGCTGAAATTGTGTGAACCATCCTYCTGAGGCGATGGGAAGGCAATGCAAGGACATCCTGTTTTTAACCTGCTGGAAACTCCCTACGAGGTATTTGTGCTAGTTAGCCYTGGGAAAAAGTAGAAGTACATAAGGGAAATTTGGCAAATGAATCATTAAAGGTGGAGTTGACGTGTAAGACGTGGACCTATGAAATACATGTATTACAGCATATGTATGATCTAATTATGTATGTTATAAAACTTAGACATTGTTTACAATAAATCGAGTTCACTTATAACTCATATTGAGTGATCTGAGTCTCCCCTTCAGCGACACATATCAGCTCACAGATGTGAGATAAACTCCTCCTGCTGAGGGGAGAGGAGGACAAAGAGCTGTGGAGGCAGAGAGAGGAGCTGCAGTGGGGTGTCCCAGCACAGACGGTGTTCTCTGGCAGGGATGGAGCAGCCACAGCCGCCTCCTTCCTCCTCCTCTGCGTTCTGGGGGTGCTGCTGGGCAAGGGGGGAACCTCTGCTGAGCCACAGAACGAGAATCCTTTCTGTTACAGGGCCCTGTGCCTGTCACAATGGTTTGAAAATCAATTTCTCTACAGGAAAAGGCCACTGAATTATCCTGTCACGAGGTGGAACGACAAAGCCTTTTAGCTGTCACATTAATATAAAAATTACATAATTAGATGACCGTAATAATGCACTAATGGTTATTTTCTAAAAGCATCCCTTTCTCTGGCTTACCTAGAGGAACAAAGGACTTGGAAGGCATGCTTGGCTTGGACATGCCGATGGCATTGACAGCAAACACTCGGACCTCATAAGCAACACCTTCAATCATTTTCTTTGGCTCAAAAGTCGTTTCCTTACACAGTTCGAAATTCAGCCTCATCCACCTGGAGCTTTGTTTCTTTTTCCTCTCGATGAAATACCCTTTTGACCAGAAAAAACTTTATTATAGTCAGTGATGGCATGAAGGTCAGTAATAAAGGGTCTATTTTTTGGCTGCCCAGTGACATTWTTTTTATCTGGATTCACTTCAGTATCCCCTTCTAACTTTAGAGTGATTTAGGGATAATTTTCCCCACTGCAAGCTATCTGATAATCACTTATTGGGCTTTCATGGCCATATATGAGCTTTTTTTGGTGTTTACTAAGATTGCTGTGTTTAGTTCAAAGTGAAAAGGACCTGATTCCACTGACCTCTGAGCCCYTCTTGGTTTGGTGTATTAAAAGATATCCCAATTTACTCACTAAATTGTTTCTGACATTCCTTCTAACATTCAAACAGGCTAAGAACAGTTCCAAGTTTATTTTTCATAAGAGGTTGTGTTTCAAGGAGGGGGATTGTTAATGTGGCAACATAAAAAATGACAAATATCAAAGTGTTACAAAAACAGGTATTTGATAATGGCCAAGAGTAGGGAGAGCATTGTAGTGACTGGATAATCCCATTGGAACTATTCAGGGCTTCAGCTAAACTCTGATCCTATTCCATCCACTATTTGGGGTTTGTTTATTTCATCTATACCACCAAAAAAAAAAAAAAAAGAATAAAAAAGAAAAAATGTACCTAAAATGGGTGATCCACCATCATTTGCTGGGGGTTCCCAGGTCATAATACACCAATCTTCACCCACCTCAGTCACATTTGGTGCCTGGGGAGGATCAGGAACATCTGTTGCAAACAAAGTAAATATTATTTAAAAAAACCCCCAACTTACAACCTTCTAGGCTGAAATTTAAAATGTCGAATAAGAAACAAATCTGAATAGTTTTTGAGGACAAATCAGGAAATGGGAGTTTCCTGAGAGTCTCATAAAAGTGATAAAAAAATAGTGAATAATAAAAATAAAAAATTCAAAATATTTTTATTAATTGAAAATTATTCTTTAATGAAGAATGGTATTTATCAGTGATAAATGACATGGCTCGTGGGCACCATAACTTACCAACCACTTTGATGTTGATCAGAGCTGTGTCCTCGCCGGCCTCGTTCTTTAGGGTTATTCTGAAAGGCCCCGAATCCTCTCTTTCTGCAGCATCGATGACCAGGCAGCTGCTGTCTGGGTAGGTCTCTGCCCGAATCCTCCCACTGTCTGTGACCATCTGGGAACCACGGCAAGCAGAGGAAATGTCATGGGTTCCATGTTTGAGAACCAAAATGCTCAAAAATCAAAGTTCGAAAGCAGTACAGGACACTTCAAGGAAAACGTGAAAGCAGCTGTAAGAAAAGCCACACTAAACCCCTTCATTTTTGTCACTTAATGATGAGAAAAATGACAAAATAACTAAAATAGCTAAAATAACTAAAATAACTAAAATAACTAAAATACAGTGGCTGCATAGTACTCAGTTGAGCCATTGCATCACAAAGGAAGAGGCACTAATGAGCAAGAACAATCTTTTTTTGACACCACATATCATTCATTCGATGGAAAGAGAATAGGGGAATTCTTCCAAAAGTCAAATCAAAATTTAATTGAATTAAATTCACTTGAAAGGTCAGAGTGATTGGAATGGCCAGTAGTTTCTCCTCACAGATTTCAAATCTTGAGGACAAATCAGGAAATGGGAGTTTCCTGAGAGTCTCATAAAAGTGATAACAAACAGTGAATAATAAAAAAAAAAATTCTAAATATTTTTATTGATTGAAAATTATTAATTAATTATATAATATATATATAATAATTAACATCACATATTTTGGAATAGGAGTTCTCCTAGAATGATTCCCTGCCTGGACAGGACCATAGTGTTAACTTTGCAGTTAATAYTTGAAAAACAGTGGTTACGGATTTTACCAGATGGGTCTGATGAATGCAGTGGTAATAATGTCTTCTGGCTTACACACAGCACAATGAAAATTTAAATGTRAAAAATGACACTTTTTTTTTTGGTATTTTCACAGCCAGGGATTGGTCCATACAAAAGTTTTGCATTTAGGCATCAAAACTGAGCCTGATTACCCAGCCTACTGTTTCATTTGAGACATGAACTCCATTAGAATTTATCATTCATTTGCCAAAACCTAACCATATCATGATCAAAACCTGCCAGCTGTTCTGGGCATTGAACATATAAAAGTAGCCATTTGGTAAATTTTCATGAGTATTCTTCTGCATTCCATATAYCCTTCTCCTCTGCTGTTTTTTATAGCAAACCTGTTTTTTTTTCTTTCTTTATTAATTTGGGACTTGCCTTAAAAATACCCAAAATACTAAATAATATTTGTCCATTTTGCCCTTCTTTTTTGAGCAAGGAGTGTTTTTAGATAAAGGGCATTTCCTCCATATTTTCTGCCATTAAAAATCAATGTTTTCACAAGGCTAAAGTTGTTTGGTTTTTTTTTTAATAAAAGGTTCCTTGTGCAGCTAAAGGAACATATACAATGACAAAATACCTTGTCCCCTCTACTCCAAAAGACTTTTGGGGTTGGTTCACCAGTGATGGGGATCTCGAGGCGAAGTTTGTTTCCTGCCACTACTGTCACAGTGTTGTTTTCCCCAAGACCATCCAGGTGAAGTTTAGGAGGATCTGAAAAAAGGAGAGACATTGTCCACGTTTGCCCTGAAGCTGCTGCTCTGAGCTCTCAGTGACCTGGCCCAGGTCTGCAGCACAGAGAAACTCTTCATTTTATTTTCCTCGTATTGTTTGGTGACTGATTTTTTTTTTATTTGGAAGAAAATTTGTGAAGAAAAATCTATTTTGTTATGATGATGATGATGATGATGATGATGATGATGGTGATGATGATGATGATGATTATTATTATTATTATTATTAAACCCACAACTGTTTTTCTGAGGCAGAATTATGTATATTCAGGTAACTTGTGAAAGTGATTTCCTCTAAGTGGCTGTTGAGAATTTCAATTCCAGGCTTTTTTTATGGCACTTTTTGCCACAACCTTCACTGTTCTGGCAGTTTAAAAAGTTATGAACCCAAATCCTTTTCTGMAAATGAAATGATCACCTTTTTTATGTTCTGTGTGTATGGAGAACAACTGATAAATATCCTCTTATATATTTTTTTAATACATTAGRATTATAACAATGGTCATTTCCCTCCAGGAACCTCTTCCCTTTTCATTCTCCCTAAACCAGAGCAGCTCATTTACACTTTGACAAAGCAGCAGGTCTGTTTTCTCTGGTGAAAGCCTGCTAAGAGCATGCAAAGTCATTGTAACCAGGAATATTTCACATATATTTTAATTTTATTTTCCAAAGGTCACAGAGAAGTGTTACATAAAACTCTTTGTGCAGTACACTTACCCACAATATGTACTTTGCATGGAATATTAATGTTGTAGGCATCTGGCACAAACATGTATTCACCCTCATCATCAACAGCAGAAACTGGGATAACAAATCTGTGGATTCTGTAAAAAAAAATCAAAAAAGGAAATTTGCATGAATTATTTTTGAAGGTGAAAGGGAAAATCTGTGAAAATTTTAGGAGATCTGTGCAAGTGGGTAAAATTACTGACTGAGAATCCTTTGCTGGTTGCTTAGTGGTATTTTAGCCAATTGAATCCTGTGAGCTTTGCACAAAATATTATTGAGACAACCACCAAATAATGTAAYGAGCACTGATATTGTTTGTTTAAACACAGAACTAGGAAAACACTATATGTGCAATCTCTTTGATACGAGGATTCTGTGCTGCTGCCATTTGGTTGTTCAAGAAGAAATCTGTAGGTGATCCCATTGTGGGAAAATCCTGACTTTTGCTGGACCATCTTTGTGACTGCATCCAATCCTTTATTTGTTTGCCAGGATGAAAAATGGGTGAGTGAATCCCGTGCTGCTCTCACTGCCCCATATCTCCCTGMAGGATATTTTTTCCTTCCTGTGTCCTGTTGTGGCCAAGCTTTGTTCAGGTCAGGACTCCCCTCTTTGTCCTTCTCCTTTTTTCCTCTCCTCACCCTTTTGGGGAGCTCCTTTGCCTTGTGATATCCCATGGGGACATTGCATGGCTGGCACTTGTCCCTTACTGCTACTCTTTATTTATTTGTTATTTATGGTTTTCTACTGCCCAACTTCACAGATTACAAATGCAAAAATACTTAATATCTCCCTATTGCTTGCATGGGCAGAGTTACCTGATCTGTGTTGATACAAACAGGAGCTATGAGGAAGAGGCATTTAAAAGCTTTATGTTTTTAATGATGCCTAGCAATAATTTTATTTTACTGCTGACTAGGAAGAGGCATTTAAAAGCTTTATGTTTTTAATAGTGCCTAGCAGTAATTTTATTTTACTGCTGACTATCCCACCCTAACAGTAACAGCAATGTCAAGAAAAATCAATAGCTTGACCTTAGGTGGTTTGAGGGTTTGATTATTGTCCTCTGCAACCAAAATACATGAGATTACAGGAAGCATGGAGACGTGGCTTTGAAAATGACACAAATAAATATGTTTTGAGGGACAGGCKTGATGAGCAGAAAATTTTCAGTGAAGTAACCCTCATTTGGAACATCTCCATGGTGCCATTCCACCCAAAGCCACATCAAAACACAGCGGGCTTACCTTCCTTTGTGATAGAGCTTTACACGGTCGCTGGCTTCAATCAGCTGCCCGTTTTTGTACCATTTCCCTTCCACATTCTCAGATATCTCACACTTCAAGTGGATTTCCTGGCCCAGCCTCACTGTCTGGTCTTCCAGTGCAAGGGATATCTTCAATGGTCTCACTTAGGAAAACARAGGCAGGGATGTTAAAGGAAGATGATGGAGCTCAGCAGCCATGGAGGGTAATTTTCAATATGGTAATAAAGCAGAATGAATTGGTCAGGGTGCCAATTTGTACAAAACAGTCAAGAGCAGCATGAGGATTACAAAAAAAAACAGTGCAAGATAACTTCAGAGCATGGACCAGGTACATTTTGTTAAAAAAACCCAGCATTTTATGGAGATATGGCACAAACAAAACTGGGAGAGCTGCACAGTCATTGCTTGTGCCTTGGTTTGGCTTTCCTGTGAAAGGATTGAAGAAAAGCCGACACTTCCCTCGAAAATTCACTTTGTGTCTACAGATGGATTGCTTTGCTTTCCATCTTAATGGGGACAGGAAATGAACAAGCAGAACTACAAACTGGAACCAGTGCCTAAAGGGAAGACTTTTTTCTTGAGATTCACAGCTAAGAAATTGATGTAGAAGTCAAGTTTCCTTTTAAAACCCCAGGGAAAGGCAACAAAATTGGTTTTTTTTTCTGTATGCCAACCCACTGTGACAGGAAAATTCAAGAGCAAGGTGGGTGATACTCACAGTCCACTGCCAGCTTGGCTTCTGACTGCCCTCCAGTTGTCATTACTGAGTAAGTGGCAGTGTCATTTTTTGCAGCTTCCTCTATGATCAAAGTGTGTTTTTTACCCTCGACCTTAATTCTATACCGCGATTTGGGATCRTCAGAAAGTTCCACGCCGTTTCTAAACCTAATAGAAAACAAAGAATTTTTATTTTTTCCGAAGGAAGTCCCRTGCAAATAAGACTTCCATACAATGAAATTTACAGAGAAGATTTTACAAGACTATAGGGCACTAGAAAAGGTTAAGCAAACTCATCTGTGGATKTATAAAGACATTTTTGCTGTTGCTACATTTTTTAATAAAATTTTATTGAGATTTTCTCAGCAGTTTTCCTGGTGTAGGAAAAGCTGCCCACATTTTTGTCCATAATCAAAAGCCTCTGGGTTTGATTCTCCAGGAAGCTGTTCAAAGTGTGGCTCACCATTTCACGTTTGCATCATCCTCAGACACTTCACAGCTCAGCTCTACTCGTTCACCCACATAGGTACTGGTGTCCTCCAGGCCTTTGGTCACCAAAATCGGGGGATCTTTGGAAAGAAAAAAATTGCAAATTTACAATCTGAGAGGGAGAACCGAGTGAAAGAGATTTTCTAAATCATGCCGTAGAAGGTAATGTTACTTTAAAATTCTAATGTGAGTATCAGCGCAGGCTTTTCTGCCTTAAATCAAAATGAAATGGTTAATGGTTAAATGGTTGCTCATTAGGATGCTCAGTAGGAAATTTGCTCACTAAGAGAAAAAATAACATTTATTCATATGAATACCTGCTTTGCATCTCATTTCATTGACTGTTTTGTCCAGGAAGCTTGACATGGGAAGCTGACATTGCCCTCTTTCTTCCCACAAATCCCTCTCATAAAACTGTGTTTGCAATAGTCCCACAGCCCAATATGAGATGTGTAGCCGTGTTATAAAATGACCTGATGGCTTATTGTGATCTTATTTGTTTAATCCATTCCTGATGTCATAACTGATTTATTTCATAGCTAAAGACTGTGGTTATTCTCCTCTGTACAGTGGTTATTCTCCTCTGTTCTAAAAAGATCTTTCAAATATTTGATGATTTCTCTTGTTATCACCTTTGTTTTTCTGTTTGTTTTGCTGTGCACTTGGGGGTAATCAACACCATGGGAGCAAACAGAGTGAAGATAAGGCCACCCATTCATAACTTTTGATCAAGTTTTACCTCAAATCAGTTCAGATGGAATGAAAACTGACTTCTAGAAAGGTGTGGGTACTTGGGCAGGATCAGAATCCTCAGGTACCAAGTGTGGTGTTAGGGGTAGCCAGTGCTGTGACAAAAAAAACCCTCCAAAATGTCTTAAAATTATGAAGGACCCCACATCCAAGGCTAGATCTCAATGCACGGTGTCAAATCAACCACTTACCCTTTTTAGGGTTTTCACCAAGCTGCTAAATACAGGATGAGGGGAAAAAAAAATGGCCAAGGATGGCAGAAATACCGAGCGATCCCAACAGCTGCTAACGCAAACACAAAAATACACCGAACCAGATCCTCCCTGTTAATCTGGATTTGTCAAAATCCTCCCTTTGCAGCCAAAGAAACCACATGAATTTAGGTGAAACARCACTGAGCTGAGGTATTTACCTCTCACAAACAGTTCTGTGGAGCACTTCTCATCACCAGCTGTCACGTAATAGCGAGCATCGTCAGCCATCGTGCAGTTGTTGATGAATAAAATTCTCTGGTTTCCCTTGTGCTCAAAAATGTATCTGTTTGAAGAGGAACACAGCAAAGATACATTAGCAAAAYTTCCGAACCCCTTCTGTTTTATGTAGAAAGGGTTTTGGGGATTTTTAGAGGCAAAAATTCTGGATTTYACACAGTCCTTGAAAGCAATTTCCAAGTTGTAACAGAGCTGTCAGACTTTTTTTAAAAAAGAGCTATAGTGTAGAGTGATGATAAACTGCTTCTGGCTTGTTCCAAGATTCCAGGTTTGAATGATATTTAAAAAAAAATATTAAAAAAAAAAAGTAAGAAAAAAGGAGCTGGAGTGGCCAAAAAAAAAGGAGTCTGAAACTCTAGATGAGTAATGCTGAAAATAGCCAGCAAGAGGACACCATCACTCATTCCAACATTTTTGTGAGGTATAATAATAGCCAAAGTTAAGAAGTTAATATTATTGGTAGGCCAGATGGCACGAGATATCAGTAATGGGATATGGGGTTTTGGTAATGGGATATGGAGCCTTTCACCTTTATGTCACCAGTTTAGATCTGCTGCAGGTTTGTAATGACCAGAGCTCGTTAGCATCTGACAGCTGCTTCAGCAGCCTGCTGGRAATGCACTGGAGCCTCAGTCCACCCCCTTCTGCTGAAGAAATGCCCACAGAGCTGCCTGCAGAGCAGCTCTGAACTGCTCATACCAGATTTAGGGGCTAAAGAAAAGGTCTTTGGGTATTTTTTGTCAATCATGAATATTAACCAAAATCCTTCACTGATTCCTGCAGCAACAGAATGATGGAAATTTGTCTTGTCTCTTAGGAGGGCTTTTGTTAATTACTTCTATATTTTCCCCCAGGGCTAAAGGAAAAATTTGCTCGGGTTTTGTGGTSCCGGGAAACATCTGAGGAGCTTTACATTGCTGTGCACCTCCTTCCTGGCTGTGTGTGWCTGTGGAATGGGGTTTTCTGTGCCTGGTGTAAGAGCTGGTTGTGCCCAAAGCCCACGAGCTCAACTTCCAGGCACTGCTCTGCATCTGCTCAAATGCTGCACCTGGAAAAGGCCACTTTTAGGAAAAAAACAGAGGCTGAACCAACATGCAGCTGGTATAGAGGAAAAATCCTGTGTACACTTGAACTGCTCTCCATGGCTGACGGTGCAGGTTGGTGATTTCAGTGTGTGAAATTTAGCAGAGCAGTGGAAGATGAGACAAACCTCACACCCCTTTTCTTGGGTGGTTTATGAATCAATGTGTGATGTCAAACATCTCTGCTCTTAGCACAGGACTGCTGTAGAGACATTGTGACTGAGGACAAAGGATTTATTTTCTAGCAGTACTTCCTGATTTTTTAAAAAATTCCTGGGTAGGAAATAGCACCACCTTTTGGGTTGGTTTTTTTTTTTTTTTTTTGTTTTGTTTTTTTGTTGTTGTTTTTGTTTTTGTTTTTTGTTTTGGTTTTTTTTTTTTTTTTAATCTCTATTATTTTGTCTTAAGACAAAGGAGCCAATCTATATTTCATTATTACATTCAGCCTATAGTGGACTTTTCTGGGTCCCAAGCATCATTTGCATACTCTTCACATCTAACGATGAGATAAAATTGGTGCAACCTGAGCAAAGAGACAGATCTACACATCACACTTGTCAAGGGAGTACACAAATGGGTGTTTGCAAATGTTAGAATCACTTACTTTGCACTTGGTCGTATTTCCTGGCCATTTTTGTACCACTTGAGTTCCACTGTTGGATCTGCTARCTCCACCATGAATCTTACTTTACCTCCTTTGTCCACCTGGTAGGCAGGATCGAGGCCTTTGGCAAAAGCTGTGGTGAGAGTCAAGAGTTATTTTAAAATGAGATCAGAAAACAAGAGTAGGAGTGCTGAAATGGCATTGCATGRGTCTAAAGCTGTCAGAATACATGCACACGATGCCAGGCATCACTATGTGTTCTCACACTAGGAATGGAATGGAATAACATGGAATTATCTGGGAATATTTCAAGAAGTACAAAACTSTGCAGATCTGGTTATCCTAACCAAGTTCAACTGGCATCTCTTTGCAGTGTGTGTGTGTTCCAAATAAGACRGGGGCATCAAATGAAATACATAAATAGAAATTAATGTGTAATATCATAGCAAATGTTGTGATGTGAGGCAGTAGATGAGGAGAGAGGGTACATCAGGATTACAGCTGGATTTGTGGAGGCTTCATCTGCATGAAAAGGACTCCTCCAGGAAACCAGTGGCACAGCAAATGTGTATATTGCATTCAGCCCTGGATTGCATAATATCAGTAGTATAATGGACAGTGTATACTATTTATATGTGTTTATATGCATTTATACTATTTATATGTGTTTATATGCATTTATATACAAACATTTATATGGTTTTATGTACACACACATATGTACACATGTACACAGAAACATATTTATATTTCTGTATGTAATTTCACCTCTCACACTATTTAGTAGGGCAGATGGGGAAAAACATTCCTGAATGTCCTCCCCCAGTGCAGGGTGGAGGGTTTATGGTTTATAGGAACAGAGGTTCAGTGCAAAATGAAATTAATGAAGAGCAAACACCTTCTGTGTTCGGAGTGAATTCTGATCAGAGCRGAAGATATTGGTGACAACACAAGGTCTGATTTCTGTATTCTTTGATCAGGTAACTCCTTTCTACACACCTGGGGGACATTGTTCAGGTGGAACCCATGTTTGTCTGGGAGGCAGGGGAGCTTTTGGTAAGCACTGAACTGGATAAGGTGTTTATACTTCTGATGCTTTAGTATTTTTAGTTTCCATATTTTCATGTATCTGTATTCTTGACTTCTCCAGTGTRCAGMACTAAAGCTCCTGTTCTCACATCTTTAGACAAAACAATTCCTCTCTGAGCCTGAAATCCAAGGACACTTCACTGCCTCAGAGCCCCAAAATATGGAAACAASAGWGAATTGGGGGGAGCAAGATTGGGGTGGGTGACATCATCACCTGAAGGTGTCACTGGAGAATTGGGGCCCCATATGTTAATAGGACAGAACTTAYAAAAGGTGAAGATYTYGTGACTYGGRGTCCATTTTGGSTGTAGCCTCAGGAGGAGGCTTTGTCTGCCCTCAATGTACCAACAGGCCTGGATTAAATTTCTCTACTTTTATTCTCTTCACTTTGCCTGGCCTCTGTTTCAGGTGAGCCCTGTTTTAGGCATCCCTTCCCCCATGGACCAAAGCTGCTTTCTGATTCCCTCCCTGCAGGAACGAGGCCTGAGCTGGGGCGTGAAAGTTCCCTCAGCACATTTGGGTTTTTTGGGTGAATGTGTGTGTGTGTGACTGAGGAGCACAAGARTATTCTGCCACACCCATACCTGCACTCTTCTTCACCTCCCTGCGCATCCTCTTGAGCCGCTTGAGCATCCCCCTGAGGTCGGTGATGCCGTACTGGAACGCGATCTTCTCGTACTCGCTGGGGTTGGCGTTCTTCAGCAGATCCCACACGTCCACCTCGGGCTCTTCCTCTTGTTGTTTCACCTCCCTGGCATCAGCAAAATAAAATCGTGGCAGAAGAGTTACTGAGGATTTGTCACGCCGTAAAATGGTGTGAATCTGTGGTAAGGCTACAAGTGTTTTGACCAAAATTTGAAGATTGCCATTATATTCTTTTTAATTTCACTTGGTATGAGTGGAATAGCTTAGAATGGCATTCACRCCTTACTGTGCACTTCTTCAAGGCAGAATTTGGATGTAAGTTTTAATTTGGCCTTTCCTGATATAATCAGCTATGAGAATTTTTGTATTGCTTAAAAAAAAAAAAAAACCAGTTTGAAAATGTAGTGCTGTAACAGCATACAGGCTAATCCCACCTAAATCAATTGATTTAATCCCACTTAAATCAATTTTATCTGCTGTAACTTGAGTGGAATCTGTTATAATTTACRATGGCACCACTCAGTCTGATCTGCACATTTGAGAATTGCACAAAAACCCTTTCAGACCTGAGTCCCTGTGACTGCTGCTGGGGGTGACCTACAGAAGGATATTGAAATCCAAGGTATCTGTGCCTGTTTTTAGTTACACCAGGACTTCTCAGCATTGCTTAAAGTTGTCATGGGAATGGGGACTGGAGGTTTCCACACCAGCTTGGACTTGAAGGATGGATCTTCTCTCTTCCATGAGTATCTCAGTCTTAAGGGCAGGGAGTGTTTTCAGAGCCCTGTGTGAGGAATCACCTTTGCACAGGAGTTTCAATACCGTTTTTACTGTCTGCAACTCCAAGCTGAGACAACTAATAAAGAGAAGAATCATTATTTTCACAATGGCAACCATTAAATGATAGAACAGTGGAAGCATCCTAAACGAAAAAGTGAACTGCTAGATACTGGAACTGAAGTAGAAATCTGGAGTTTTCTTCCTGTAAATTGATTAGGATCAGCCCAGGATCGTTCTGATTTGATCTAGCTTATCTAATAAAATCAGTTAGAGAACAGAGTGAGAAAATAAACTTTGAAAAATAGAAAAAAATACCAAGTTTTGCACTGTTAGAGGTGAGGTTTATGGAGCCTAACAGAAGATTTTTGTTGACAGATACAGAAATAACACTAAAGATCCCTGGAAATCTCTGCACAGTTGGATGAGCAACCATGGAAACCACATTGCTGTTTAGTTCATGAGTTTTATTAATTTGCATAATACTTCAGTGATTTTTAAACAGAAAGAAAACTTCTCCCTGAGTGGTCTTTCAAATACAATAATTCTAAGACAGTGCCTAACTTAGATAGACAGAGTGTCAAACTTACATTCTAATGTAAGTTAGATAACCTAAGGCATATGAAATTTTATATTTTGTCCCTTTTATCTGTGCTCATGCTTTCCAAAGGGTGACTCTGCAATGAATTTCAGTGAGGTTCCTTCTGTATTGGGGCAGATCCTAAGCAGACTGATCTCATCACAAAATCACTTTCAGGTCTCTTCCCTAAAAATGTGCATTTTGTTGCAAGATGTACCTTTTTTCTGATTTTTTTTCTTAATTAATTTATTTTTATTTTTATTTTTAATTTTATTTGAGAGGTTTTTAGGTCAGATGCCTTTCGGAGTTTTGTGCTGTCACTGATCCATTGCATTGACAAAGCTCATCCAGTCATGGAGGTAAGGCTTGATACACCTGCCTATCAACCAGCAAAAAATTAGAAAACAGAACAGTATATTGATTCTATGCATTTAGGGTTTTTTT